ATCAAATCATCTATTTCATTCATGTTAAGTAAAGGAGGTCTTGGGTTATGAGAAAATTTCAGTTAAAATAAGGCTAGCCAGTTAGCTCAGTTGGTTAGAACACAGTATTATAACACCAACATCAAGGGTTTAGATCCCCACACTGGCCAGCTGTCCCCACCCCCAAAATCATATTTGCCCAACTACAGTCACTCCAGATTTATTGAGCCATTTGTTTCTTGCCCTGTTCATATCTAATTGTGCCACTTAAGACATGACCATATTTTAGTAGCAAAGTAATAATACTTTAAATGTGTGTATTTGAAGTCTGTATCAAAATATATGACGGTACTTCAAAAAGTTCATGGGAAAATAGAATGAAAAATAATATGAACCTTTCCATGAACTTCTTGAAGTACTCTAATAGTCTGTAAAGGCAAGTTTTGCTTGTTGATAACTTAAATATATACTTTGTGGTAGCAAATGTTTAAGTATATTTCAGACTTATTTAAGACTGGTGAGCATGAAAAATTAAAATGAATTCTCCTAAATGAATATGAGATTATTTAATTTAGGAGCAAAGTGAAAATGTATTTGTGAATATAGTTAACAGTGAGATTTGAAAATGTCCATTATATTGATTTCTGTCTTTATGTAAATTTTACTTTATGTTGAAAGTGTTACATTCTGTGACTTCTTTTTATCTTTTGAATTTGATAAAAAAGGGAACTAGACCTTCTCAACATTTTTTTCTATCCCACCCCGAGTCCCCGAAAATGATTTTTTCTTTGGTCCTTCTACTATATAACTGTTTTATGTTGCAAATTTTATAAAGCAGCCATGAGACTATTTTCATTAATATGTTTGTCCTCTCCACGAAGGAAGTAAAGTTCAAGCATTGCCTTTCAGGAAGATCCAAACCAAGGTCCGGCTGTGTCACTGCCTACCTGTTTGCAGATAGTTTTGAAGTTTGGTTTCTTTATCTGTAAAACAAAGTATTTAAATTTGATTTTAATGGTTCCTTTTAGCTGTGAAATCTAATAATTTGAGATACTGTTAGGAGACTTGATGCCTTTTCACTTTCTCTAGTGCGGTGACCAGATACCAGGTGTTTCAATTTAGACTAATTGAATCAATCTACAGGGATAGTCTGTATATATACTTTATACTTTAAATAAATATACTTGTATATGCTTATGTATTTAATTTTTGAAATGCTTTTTTTTTTTTGTAGCACTTGATTTCAACTTTTGGGTTAATTAAAAAAGATTTACTTTGAAGAAATTTGTAATCTCACCATAGGACTTCAGAATTCTTTAGGACTAGAACTTTAAAAAAAAATTAAGAGTTTGTATGACAATATATGTTTATGATTTTTTATTTATTTATTGTTTTTACTGTTCCTCAATATTTCTTTTTTTTTTTTTTTTTTCCTTTTTGTCTTTTTTCGTGACCGGCAATGGATCGCAACCCTCAGTGTCGCGCCCATACCGGACCAGGACCGGCCACGGGATTGCAACCCTCGGTGTTGCTCCCGCACCTCGCTCAGCCAGTGAGCGGCCGGTCTGTATGTGGGATCCGAACCCTCGGCAGGAGCGCCACCTCGCTTCCCAAGCGGCGCACTATAGCAGTGCGCCACCGGGCCGGCCCAATATTTCTCTTTTATTAAATTTAAATTTTTATTTTCTTTGTTCACAAATTTTTATCTACAGGGATTTTACACATACAGCATTGCCTTCTGGAAATATCTTCATTGCTTTATTAGACCTAACTACCTATTAGTACTTATAAGTCTCACTTGAATCCAGTGCTTTTCAGTCAACTGTGTGGTATTTATGGACTTCATTGTCTTGATTTCTCTTTCTCTTTCTCTCTGCATTATGACTACTGTTAGGCTTTGAGTGAACTACAGTTATAGGTGGTCTTCCAACTCCTAGCCTTTTCAAAGATGGTTGTCAGCATGTTTTTGCCTCTGTCATTCTTTGGTTTAGTTCAATTTATCTTTTTTGTTTTTGGTGGTGGCTGGCCAGGACAGGGATTGAACCCTGGGCCTCAGTGTTATCTGCACTGCACTCTGACTGGCCAGCCCTAGTTCAGTTTACATTGCCTGCATTTCTTTGCTTCTATCCTTGAGAACCAACTTGGTACCTTTAACTTTTCAAGCACCTTCCTAGTCTTCTCTTACTAGACAACTTCTGCCACATTGCTTTGTGCTGCACAAGTGGTTGTTAAATAAAAATCTTTCCCATTGAAAATGCAATGAGCTATAAAACTTTGCTTTAGAATGCAAGTTTTTGTGGAGTGTGGCAAAAAGAGGTTGATTTAAGAAAGCCTGTAGGTTTTTGTTTATTTGTTTTTAAATTAAAAAGCCATGTGCAATTTATCTTAGAACCCAAATTTTTTACATCTGGTATTATTGGGAACTTGCAGTTCTTTACCAGAGAATAGTCCATTTCATGGAGTAGGTTTCTTTCTGCATTAGTAAATGTGGAATTTACTGATTTACTGAAGTTTCTTTTCCTTTTTTTTTTTTTTTTTTTTTTTTTTTTTTTAGCAGTTACCCCTTGACATGGGGTGGGTGGGTATTGTATGTAAAACGTATTTGTTAATATGATCACAGTTTATGCAGACAGAGAGCTTAGTGAGGAAGGAAGTTGTGCATCTGATACCAGTGGAATTGTGAGAACTCTGACCTGTTAGTAGTAGTTTCACACAGTCTCTTTTCTGTCCAGCCATTAGAGATTTAAGGAGTTCACATTTATTGGAATTTGTAAATATACTTTTTCTTTCTAGTGGGGTTATAAATGTATTTGCAGGGATCCTCATCTTTATTTTCTGCTTTTCCACTCATAATTGCACTTATAATGTCAGGTATAAATATAATTGACTTTTTACAGCCTGAATAGAAAATAATTTCTAGTTGTATCTTTATTCTTAAAGCTTTTCATTTATTATTCCTTGAATTTGTTAATTATTATCAAAATAAATTGAGAAGAATATACCAAAACTGAGTAGAGCATAACTACTATTTTGCTATAATCCTGATTTTTCAGCAGCTGTTTTTGGATTGATGATACTGATCTAGAAATTTTTAAGTATCTTTGATAAAACTTTCCTGGGTAAAGCATAAAGGGTCATGAATCAGTGCTTATGAAATTGCAATTGGGATGCTAGATAAGATTATTCTGATTATTTGTAATCCAGAAACATCCTTAAATTTTTTCTTTATGCAGTAATATTTTCATATGTTGCCCTGGGCATTAGCAAGTCTGACCTCACTTGAATTAGAAATTATTATTTAATGCTCTTTAATGGTGGTAGCTGGGAAGATGAACCAAGATCCAGACAATAAATTCTTCTTTTGTAATATCTTGCTTTCATCCTTTACTACTGCTTTCTCTCAGCTTGAAGCCCTTATTCCCATATTATGAGAATAGTGTAAATTCATCATGGATTATCTCTATTATGTTCCAGTCTGCTCTTAATGTCACCACCAAATCAGTCTTTCTAAAACACTGCTCATTTAGGTCATTTCTGTGCTCAGAAATTTCTGTTGGCCTCTGGAGTCTGGCCTCTGCCTTTCTACCCTTACCTCCTGTTGTTATTCAAACCATTCTATTTGTTAGCTAAACTAATTACTTAAATCTCTCACCCTATCTATGACCTTTTCACCCTTAAATGCTATTCCTGCCTTTAATGTGGTCCTTTCCCCTTTTTTCCTTTCTTCTCCTAGTGTTTAAATCTTTCTAAGGACATCCTTAAATTTGGACTCTCCTGAGAGCCTTTACCTAACTGCCCCACTGTGGTAGCTTTGCATCCTTCTAAAAATTAGTGGAATTCTTTTGTTTAAAGAATTGATTTGATAGCTGGCACAGGCTGATATTTGTTTGGTGTGCACCTGTCTTGTTTTCCCAAATATCTCTAAACTTAGTGGACTCAGAGCTTTATCTTAAAATTATTTGCATTACCCACATTACATAATACTTATTAATTTATTAGTATTTAATGAATAATAGTAAGTAAGGATGCTTTTCAATTAAATTTCAAATCTGTTTGCTAGAATCAATAGCTTCTTGCAGTATCTCTTCAGAAGATAACCCTGGGATTCAGATTGGATATTAGTCCTTGTTAAATTTTTTTAGAGCAATTAAATGTGGTACCAATATGTTAGTTTTGTAAGGTGACTTTGTATATATTTCCAGGGAATAAGATAATTTTGTTGAGAAATTTGGAATTTTAATTTTTTTGTTATAATATTGTATCAGAGCAACACATTTGGGTAATTACTTATCTTTTGTTCCTGTGCTGAGTTAAATAAAGTTAGTTATAGAAATTATGTCACTCATAGAGATTTATTTAATTTTGTCTTTAAGTCAGACGAGTTAAAATGGACTTGAAGTTTGCAATTCTGTCTTTACTGTGATACTGCATTTTCTCTATATGGAAATAAAATGTTAATGTTTTTGTTTGAGTCAGTAGTTCGCATGAAAGTGTGTTTCATTTGTCTCAGTTGTGTGCATGTGTGTGTTTACACACATATACCTTCTTTAGGATTGTGATTAGTAGATAGAAGTACTAAAAGAAATTTACTGCTCTTAAGAACCTTTAGAGAACATTTTAATAACTTTTATGCCTTTCTGTCAAACACCTAGAAAAATGGGACAGTATTATTTCAAAAATTGTAATGGGGAATGTATTTGTCTCATACATAAACTAAATGGTGGATTAGACTTTTGACCTATTAATTGGAGTAGTATCTGTTTTAAGCAGAGCTTTTTTTTTTTTTTTCTTCGTAAGCTATTCAAATTAGAATGTAAGTTCAAGGGGTAGGGATCAAGGATAGGGATTTTACCTTATACTTTATGTTTTCAACATCTAACCTAATGTCTTACATCATCACAGTGCCTCAATAAGCACTTGTTAAGAGGGTAAAATATTTATTTTTCTGACTTTTGGGGAATTTGTTTTTATTATGAAAGAATGACTACTCTGATTTTACTCGATATGTTTTCTTTTTACAGCCCCATTGACAAACCTTCAGATTCTATCAGTATAGGGAATGGTGATAATTCCCAGCAGGTAAGATTTGAATACAGTATCACATTATTTCTACATACCCCAGAAACAAGGTATTATATGCAAGTGAATTTTCTAAATAGTGAAAAATATTTTAAATACAGACACAATTAAAAAACGCTTTTGATGGACATCTTTGTTAAATGTATTTTAATTAGCTGCCTTTTCTTCCACAGAATACGACATAATTTAACCCTTTCTTGCTGACTCAGAGTTATCATTATGACCACATATTATTTTACTGTATGGAAATACATCAGTATCCTTAGCATCTGTTAATGTTATTCATCTTTTTGACTCTATACCAAATGGTCCCAGGCTAACATGCCTTCCAAGTTCTTGCATTTAAGAGTTGTTTCCCCACCACATGCTCTCCTTGTCACTTGCTGTTAACTTTAATTTTTTATTTCACTCACTGTACTTGCCTCTAAGTTTTCCCCTTACTTCCCCCAAATGACTATCAGCTTTGAAATGGTAGACCAGATAAGCTGTTCTAAGTTTCATCCACTATGAAACTGAGTGAGGTATTGACTATTAGAACATACTTTGTGTCTGTTGCTCAGGGAACTTTTTTTCTGCTGTTCTTCACTGCTTAAGTGTCTTCTTATATATTGATAAGTGTAGTTCTAATCTATTCCTTAAAGAATGGCCAGTTCTCCACAGTATATGTGAAAAACTTGGATATCTGAAATATAGTGCTTTTCCAAATTTTTTGCTCACAAATTTCATAAAAAAATTTGAAAAATCTGTATATCCCTTTGTATGTTTTAGGTTGACATTACAATTTTTTTAATAAGTTAAAAGCATTTGCAAAGGATATAACTTCTAGCATACTATAAATATTGGTATTTTAAAATAAAAGTGCTTTTCCTTTCCACCGAGAAATTTTACATTATTCCTTTTTCTCCTTGAACTCATTTGTCTATTTTCATTGCCATTACAGAGTTTTATTTTGATGCAATATAGTTAATGCTTGAAAGGTACATACTTCTCTCAAAAACAGGCATATGCATTTTTTTATATTTTAAATTGACATATTGTACATATTTATGGGGTACACTTTGATATTTTGATACATATGAAGGGTCTTCAAAAAGTTCACAGAAAGAACCATATTACCTTTTAATTCCATTTTTCCACGAACTTTCTGAAGTACCCTTGTATTTATGTTGTGTAATGATCAAGAGTAGTTAGTGTATCCATCACCTCATGCATTTATCATTTGTGAGGAGTACATTCAAAAACCTCTCTTCTATCTTTTTTGTAATATACAATACTTTACTGTTAACCATAGTCTGCTGTGCAATAAAACACCAGAGCTTTTTCTTCCTATCTAATTGTAAAAAAATAGGCATATGTATTTTTGATTTGAAATAAAAATGTTTTTGCTGTCCCGAGGTTTTAAATGCTAATTTTTTCTTCTGAATTTTTATTAGTAGTATTGAGTTAATCAAAATAACATATAATATAGATTTTGATAAAAGTTAATCACTAAACTATAATACTAAAATTATATTGGAAATTCATCTCAATGAGATGGATAGGACCATTTTAAAATTAGTTTTCATGTGTCTCTAGATGAATATTACTTATGGGTAAAATGAGATAAGTTTTAGGAGCAACCCTAGTTATATTTTTCATTTTTCTAGGATGTAAGTGCCGAGACATCTTATTTCTATAAATAAGTAGATGAATGGAGTATTATATCAGTTGCACTCGAATCTTTGAATTCTTTCTGAATCAAATACCTAAGAATCATATAAAGACTTATAAAAATTATTTTTTAATGATGTATTTGGGAGCAACTTGATTAGACCTTCCTTCAGTTTTGTTGAAAACTAAAATATTGGGAATCATTTAGTTTGCAAAAGGATGTAGTCATTAGAGTCAGTCACTCTTTTTTCACCAATCTGCATATTTCTAATAATTTGTGTTAAGCCCCTGAAAAGTTTTCTCTCTTTAGCAAAATATTATAGTGAAATTCCAGAGAGTGAGAAATAGTCTTTTCCTTTGTAAAGTGACGGTAAGACTGTACAAGGAGAAGAGACTAGTTTAGTCTTTTCAGGCAGATTAGTTTTTTTAAAAAGTACATATGTATGTTAATGATTTAACTGATTTTCTGAAACTCTACGCTTTCACTGAAAAGTCTTCAAGTACCCTGGTTTTAAGACCGCTATTCTAATACATTTAGTTGCACACCTTTTTGATTGTGGCTTATTAAAATGTATAAATTTGTAATGATTATTACATTTTCTTTTTTTATTCAGATATCTAACAGTGATACACCTTCACCACCACCTGGTTTATCAAAATCCAATCCAGTCATCCCCATCAGTTCATCCAATCACAGCGCACGGTCTCCTTTTGAAGGCGCAGTAACAGAGTCACAGTCGTTATTCTCAGACAATTTTCGCCATCCCAACCCTATCCCAAGTGGGCTTCCTTCTTTCCCCAACTCCCCACAGACATCCAGTGATTGGCCTACAGCACCAGAACCACAGAGCCTCTTCACATCAGGTATGTAAAAATAGTACCAAGTGTTAGTAACAATACTCTTAACATGTTGTTGACAGACTAACAGGAAACTCATTGGAGGGTATATTTTTATTCTTTTTCTCTCCACTCCCTTTTTATAAAAATGTAAACAAGGAATTCAACAGATAAATTGTTTTGTGACCTAGAAATTAATGTGTTAAAAGATAGATTTCTCCAGAAATCAAGTTTTATATCATTTTCCCAATAGTAAAAAGCTTATTCCTCTGGGAATTGTTGAGGACTTACATTTTTAATCAGATTTGTGTTTATATAGTTAAATTTAATATTTCTTCTCCCAACTGATAGTTATTTAGTAGCAAAAGTTATCTTTTGGCATATTTAAGCCATTTTCATTTTTACTCATTATAAGTTCTCTTATTAATATGAAAGATGGCATAAAAGTGACATTGACAGCAACACCTATGGAGCAGACAATTTTTTAAAAACCGTGAGGATTAATATAAATAGATACTTTTTCATTAAATTACATTTTTTTAGCAATATATAAAGCACATATTAAAATTATTTGTATTTTATTTTTGATTAGTACATTTTTAAAAATAAGCTTTACTAGTTAAAATCTGGCAGATTATATTTATTAGTTCAGTTGAATATGACATGCTGGTTTTGGTTATGGGTGGTTCAGAGTATAATTTGAGTATCAAGTACTTTTTTCCCTTTGATTAGCAAAATCAGTCTGTATCATTCAATTTTTGAAGTTAGTAACTTCAGAGTGAAATCATTGCTTAGAAGTATGTGAGGTCTTTTGTAATTATTTGATCTTGATGTGCTAAAAAGGCTTACAGATTTTGCATATATTTGATTTATTTTGTAATAGTACTTGTTTAACTTTTACTAGTGTGGATACTTATTAAGTATGAAAGTGGACTATGTATTTTATATTCATCACTATTTTTCTTCCCTACAGAAACAATCCCAGTATCATCTTCTACAGACTGGCAAGCAGCATTTGGCTTTGGCTCTTCTAAACAACCAGAAGATGACTTGGGTTTTGATCCCTTTGATGTCACTCGAAAAGCCTTAGCAGACCTGATTGAGAAGGAACTGTCCGTCCAAGACCAACCTTCCCTTTCACCCACATCTCTTCAGAACTCCTCTTCACACACTACAACCGCCAAAGGTCCAGGCTCTGGATTCCTGCATCCTGCTGCACCTACAAATGCCAACTCTCTCAATAGTACCTTTTCAGTCTTGCCACAGAGGTTCCCTCAATTTCAGCAGCACCGAGCGGTTTATAATTCATTCAGTTTTCCAGGGCAGGCAGCCCGCTATCCTTGGATGGCCTTTCCACGCAATAGCATCGTGCACTTGAACCACACAGCAAACCCCACCTCAAACAGTAATTTCTTGGACTTGAATCTCCCGCCACAGCACAACACAGGTCTGGGAGGGATCCCTATAGCAGGTAGGTTCATTTAAAGCCTTTGAGAATTCGTGAATAACTCAGCCTTCAGATATTGGGTGGTAAGGGAGGAGACTATTGAATAACAGAGAGTACTTATTATTAGTCTTGGAAATTTCTATGAAAATAATTGAAGTCTTTAATATGATCTAAAAATTTTTTAATTGGATGGATGCCTTGTAATATTGAGCTTTATAAGGATGGTGGAGTATTATACCTAGTTATTGTTTGGAAGCATTTTACTTAAAAGGATAGTTACTAAACTTTCATGTGGTATACAAATGGAAAAAAAAGAAGAAAGTGGGCTCTGAAATTATGGTGCAATAAAGTTCTAACACCATGGTAAAAATTCTGATTTTATGTTCTATAAGTAAAGTGGTTTAAAAAAAATTTTTTTTAATGATAATTAATGAGAGCATGAGGGATAAAGCCACTTTCCAACTGCTTTTAGTAATTACTTATTTGACTGATACACACACACACACACACACACACACACATCAAAACTGTGCTTTATATTTATTAAAAGAGTACTTAGTATTTGAGAATTGGATTATTAATGTTTCACAAACATATTTCACGGACATATATTTTCTGTGAAAAAGAAATTGTTCAAGGAGAGATAATTTCCCTTTTCTTCTGTCATGTTTTTATTTCTGGGGAAAAATATTAGGTATATATAAGGCAATATAAGTTTGGTGCCAGAATACTTCTGGTTTTGTACTGCTACCCTTGAAGGTTTCAGAACTTTTGTGTTTTAAGATCCTATATGACATTTTTTAGAAGAAATAGCTTTTATATCTAAGGGAGTCATTCTTGTTAATAATGTTCTCATTTAATCTGGGCTTTAGAGATGACGAAAAAAGAGAGTTTATTCCTTTCTCCATTCTGCCAAATAGAGTAGGATAGTTTCTCACACTGTTAAATAAGTCAGACAATTTATTTTCATCCCTTGTCATGGCCTTTAAGGTAGAGCATGGCACAGTGTTATCTATTACCAGCAAGGCATTCGTTCTCTTATTTTTAGCAAGGTTGATAGACGAATTTACAGAGATCCATCAAAATTCTTTGTCTCTTTTCCTTGGGACCAACAACATTTTGTATTTTAAATAGGTAGCTAGGTTAATAGAGTATATAGTTTGGAGCTGTTGACATAGTGAAGTTAACAGTTAATTTACATAAGCTTGATAGCACCTAATGTAGTAATTTGCAAATCAATGGGACTCAGTGATGTTTGTTCACTTAATTATGGTAGTTAGTAGGTAATCCAGAGTGGCACTTTTCATTTCTCTCCTTCTATGTGATGTTCACTTGTGAAACACTAAGTATTCAGTTCACGTTACTCCTTCCCCCCCCCTTCCATTCAAGATAGCATATTAGAATATTGTTTTGGTTTGCTTTGTTTTAATCATTTAGAAATATGGCATTTTAATTATTGGTAGTGTATCTTATAACTGATTGTAACATTAAAAGTTAAAGTTAAGTTCCCCTAATTATTGTAAACATCTAAAAGTGAAGTATTAGGGCCGAGCCCGTGGCGCACTTGGGAGAGTGCGGCGCTGGGAGTGCAGGAGCGCTCCTGCCGCGGGTTCGGATCCTATATAGGGATAACCGGTGTGCTCACAGCGCTCACTGGCTGAGCGCGGTGTGGCTGGTCTCAAAAAGGACAAAAAATAAAATAAAATAAAAATAAAAGTGAAGTATTAAACCAATTACAGTGAGTATTTGGGTTCCTATTTGTCCAACAATGAACTAGGCCATGTGGGGAATACAAAAGAAGTGTAAAATATGGAAATCCAGACACTTTAGTTGAAGAGGTAAAATTATGTCATGTATGAAAGTGGTAACTATACGTGTGGTACTGGAATCTGAGAGACATCAATGTAGCGTGTAATTGTTGGAGAAGCTTCATTGAAGAAGTAGTTGATCTGTACTACCATATCTTGCATTTGGGTTAGCAGCAGGGAAAGAGAAAGGCTTTTATGTTGATGGAAACCTCCTGAATAAAGGCATAGAGGCAGGAATAGTATGTCATTACATTGAGAAGCAATAGAACCCTTCTGTAGCAGGAGGTACATCTTAAATTGTATAGATATAATGTATGAGGAACTGACAGCGAGGCCAGGCAGTGTGGACTTGATATGATAGGAAGTAGGATGCCTTTGTGTGACTCTGGTTCTTAGCTGTCTTCATTTTGTACTTTTATTTTACTTTTTACATGACCATCCTTGATAAATTATCAGTTCTTCCAATTTCATAGTCATCATATTGTCCATAGCACTGAAGAGCAGTTTTAACCCAAATATTTCAAGCCGATAGATATTCTGGAAGTGCCACACTGGTAATGAGAAATCAGTGATTTGTGAGTGTAGTTGTCCTCATGTTAGTCATTTGAAATCTTCATCTAAAGTAGATACTTTATGAAAAAACTGTGGTCTATCTTTGTGTTTTTCCCCCCCCTCCTCTCTCTCTCTTTTACCATCTACTCAACTTTGGAGCATTAAAAACATTTTTTCAGAGATACTAAAAATTAAGTCACCACCTTTAGGCTCTGAATCATTGTATTTGTTGGGGGGCAAGGAGAGGTTGTAATTTCAAATTTTCAATTTTTGGCTATGCATTCTTGCTTGGTATTTAAATGGTGACTTGTGGTTAACCTTATTATTAGATTATTTTAAGGCTTTAATGACTAGAGAAACTTTAGTTTTAATGTGTTAAAATATTTGAAACTTATTAGGAGTCACACCAGAATCCTTTCATGGCTTATATTTGGCAGATACCTCAGAAACTGAATGAATGTGCTAAACCTCAAAGCAGAATAGTTTTATAATTGCAGCCAGATGATTTAGGATTTTTATTAATTATAGAAATGACTGAAAGTAAAAATCCAGAAAACTATATGCATCTTAACTGTGTCTAATTTGAAGCAATTTAGTACCTAGGTAATATCTGCTCCCGCACACCCAATTATAACACAGTTGTGCTCCAGTTGAACTACTGAAAAGGGTTCAACTTTGTATCCTCCAGTGATTATCACAGTACATTCCACAGGGTAGTTGTTCATTAACTGCTTCAGTAATGGAGAGTACATACTGTTTAAGTGGGCCCTACTGCTTTAAGATACACTTAGACAATATTTTAAACTAATTCTACACTGGGAAAGGCATGTATATTTATTCTTTAGATATGTAGAGCAAAATAGGGTTCTTGACCTGTAGGAGCAAATCAGAGGTGGCAATCAACTGCATATCATGCAGATACCATGTCTATTTATTATATATTTTTACTTAAATTTTAATTTTGGTTTGTTTCAGTTAATTATTAAAGATTGCTATATCTGAAACCTGTCATGGGAAGAACAGTTGCCAGAGGTTTGATAGAAATGCTACTTCTATTTCCTTTGTCTAATTGAAAACATTTTTGTGTTTAAAATTAGTTATTTCCTTAATTAGGTGAAATCTTTTTAGCAGCATTTTCTGGGCTGCACATCTGGTTTGCTAAGTTTAGAAAGATTTTTGAAATAAATATTCAAAAACTTTGATTAGTGGGCAGTTAAGTTCATTCACACCTTTTTATTTTATTTTATTTTATTTTTTTCCTTTTTGTCTTTTTTTTTTCGTGACCGGCAACGGATCGCAACCCTCAGTGTCGCGCCCGTACCGGACCGGGACCGGCAACGGGATCGCAACCCTCGGTGTTGCCCCCGCACCTCGCTCAGCCAGTGAGCGGGAACCGGTCTGTATGTGGGATCTGAACCCTCGGCGGGAGCGCTGCCGCACTTGCCAAGCGGCGCACTGTAGCAGTGCGCCACCGGGCCGGCCCACACCTTTTTTATTATTGGAACTATGCGTCTTTGTTCTAAAAAGTGACTTACCTTGTTCAATTCCTTCATTTTAGGAATGGCAGAGTTGTGTTCCAGAAAGCATAAATAATTTGTTAAAGGTCAAACATTCAATTAGTAGTGGAATTAGATGAGAACTCAGATATCAAATTCAATAATGGAAATGTTTTTGCACTACCACACTGATGCTCTCCTTCATAAATGAAGATCACTGGCATGTGCTTTAACTTGGCTTTCTTCCCATAGTAATTGATTTTTGCTCTCACATACTTATGAGTCCCTTTTTATCAATAGTATCTATTCATGAGATAAATTGGCCCAGCTCAGGGATATGGCATATAGTTACAAAATAGAATGAAGTTTATTGACTTGATGAAAATCAGTCTTTTGCTTAGTCCTCATTAGTACCATGTTCTTACTAAGAACTCTAGTCTAAAATTTGTGTTATACAGCCTCCTTGCTATGTATTTGGGGTTTATAAGGATCTTTGCCAGTTTATTGAAAAACTATGAAATAATCTGTTCTGTGGATTCAAAGACTCTTTTTCTGCACTTTGTCAGTTAGGCTCTCTTTCCAAATGTAATTTTGCAGATTTGTTTTTCAGAGAACTGTCTGCCCAAATGTTTTATTCCATAGTGCTAAAAATTATTTGGAAAACATATAATAAGTCGTCTAAGTCTGTAAGCATTATTGTTTCAAGACATACTTTGAAAAATACTTGAAACTGTTTAGGAATGGATTTTTATTCATGTTTTTGTTAATTCAGATTTTACTTATTAGAAGGCATTTAAAAAATTTTTTTGTTCGTTTATTAACTATTTTAATAGTGACTTGATTGAATTTTGAGTCACGTGTGAAACAAGTCACTTGTCAAATAGTTATCAGTTATAATTAGAACTGATCTCATTCACGTATAGTTCTCTGACCTAGATGTAGTCATCTCACTTTCAGTCAATTGGATCATTAGCATTTTACTATTTTCCAATTACTTCAAAAGTACAAATTGAATTTTCAGATGCTAAATGTTAATTTGAAGTTAATATTTATATCTGTTATTATCTCATTTTTTCTCATTCATAATGTATGCTTTGAAAACATGGATTTGTAATTTTCCTCTTTTAAAAATTAGTTTTTTAATTCTGTAAATCAAGTTTCAATTTTT